CACGGATGATTTAGTGGCTCATTTCCAATATTTACCGGAGTGTAACGTCTCCCCCCTCATCGCCATTCTCCACATTTTCCCCCTTCGCTTTTTCCTCATATTTTCCACAGAGTTTTTTGTGTCGTTGATTAACTGTAAATTTGTCATAATGAAGTGCAACGTTGACTTTCACAGATCGCTTGTAGTCGCGTGCTCTATACACTTGACGAAACATTGTTTTCCCGCTGTCATTGTTGTTGTGGGAAATCATTGAGGCGCGGCCAATACAATTAACACCCACAACCGAGCGGGGAACTAGTTCATTAGCCGAACTAAACGCTACTTTAGCAACACAATTTAGTCGCCACAAAGTGATGAGCTTCAATTAACAGCACACCGGGAAAAATACGATATCATTTAGACTTTATTTTAGTAAAATACTAAAAATTAGAAGACATGTAAATCTACTTTGTATTGACAATAAAATGGTTTTAGGGTTTTGCTCCAGAAAGTAAAAAGAAATGGGTTTTGTGATTAATACTTGTAATAATTGTTATTAAAACAGGAGAAAATTATACTTTTAATTATAAGTCTGACTGGTAGAATGATAATTACTGGAAAAAACCCATTTTTGGGTCATCTTTTTTTCTGTTTGTATTATATTAATTTTCATATCTTTAAAACTGAGCAACCGGAATTTTTTTTTTAAATCTTCAATATTTTTAGAACATTTTTTAAAAACAACTTTTTATTTATATGTTTTGTTGTGACTTATGTTTCAATTTATTGGGGGTGTTGGCTTGTCTAATTAGCAAGTGGCCTTTATGACTCAGCCTTGGTAATTTATCCTGGCCCCTGACTAATATGGATATTATATGTCACTTGCGAAAGTGTAATCAGTCCGTAGTCCCAGTCGGCAAGACAGGGCTTGGCTTTGGGGGAAAAGGAAACAGAACACCGAATACATTTTAGTAGAAACAAGGTGAATCGCCATGTCTTATCCGACATTTCTCTTCGTAGTTTAGGGCGAAAAAATAGTGACCAAACTACCAAAACAATGCAATGCATTCATTACCTTAATTACGCATCCGTTCGTTTTCATTTTAGAAAAAAAAATTATTTTAAAGTGTAGTAGTATTTTAAGGTATAATGAGTTATATGATTATAAATTATATGATGTAATCTTTATATGATTGCAATTGTAATTAATATATTTATTATTCTCTGATTAGGCACCAAATTGATTGAGGCAATTGGTTTGTTTTATTATATGTGATCACTTTGAAACTATTCATGAATGATTTTACTGAGAATTTATCATAGTAATTTTGAATTAATGACTTAATGTGCAATTCGTATAGGGCGCCGTTAAATACACTATTTAGGAACCTGTAGTAAAAAGCAAAATTATATTTTTTGCAACGCCTGGTTGTTAAAACCCTCAAAAAAAAGGCCTAAAACCGGAATTACTATTATTTCGCCAGCAATTGTCTTTGGATCCACGCCCACGACTTGGCGATTCCCGCTGTCTAGTTGGCGGATATGTGTCATTGCTGATTATACAATTTACTTAACTTTTTTTTTTGCGTGCGCTGGCTGGACGCACTTCAAATTTCTACATAAATATTTATTACACTCAAAGTTGCGAGTAATCGCAGACAAGCGAAAACTCAAAATTTGCTTTACGTGTTACAAATTTCAATTGACTGCGACAACGTCGAAAAAAAAATAAAAACGACAACGACAACGAAGCCCAAGTTAAATGCGAACAACGACCGACAAACAACCAGAAAAATAGCAACAAATACAAATATAAATAAAACCACAACAACAACGGCAAGAGAAACAAAAAGTAACGCACTGACACCGATTGACATGACAGGCGGCAAAAGTTTTTTTTTTAAGTATTTTTTAGTGAAGATATGGATAGTATTTGGTACCATCCTAAATCGGCTCCAGTGGTAATCATTCGTTAAAATTTTTTATTATTGTAGATATAATTTCAAAGGGTAAGAATTTCGGAGAGAATAAAGAAGTTAAACACTTTCTCTACTTTGACCTTCAGATTTGGACTCACTGCGGAGAATCCTAAGATGGCAAACTTTTTTTTTTACTCTTAGGATAATAATCTTATTTTTCATAGCTAAATGTATTCTCTAAAAAAAATAAGAAATGTATATTAATAAGAAAACAAAATAATAATATTCATATTTTTTAAAGACGGTTTTCCCATATTTGTATACTTTGGTAAGGTGCACCCTATAAAGTATCTATAGGTGGTCTTTTTTACGGCCGTGCAACGGTAAACAACTATCAAGCCTATCATCATTATTATCGCCATCATCGGCATAGGCATGGGCGCATTATTAATTTTTGTTCAATTGATTTCCTTTGCCTGTATTTGAACAGCTATTTCTAATTCCGACCTCCAAAGCAGAGGGGTCAAAGGGGGGGCACTTCGGATACGTACTGCTATGTATATGCATAAAGCGGTACGAGTATCTATCAAACAATGCTGATTAACATGTTTCGAATGCTGTTGACTCACGTTCAATCAGCGGGCGCTGTATTGTTACTTTTTTTTATGGTTTATTGTTGATGTTGATGTAATGCTGCCTTTGTTGTCGAGGTCGCGACACACTGAAAAAGTGGGTGGAATGGGTTAAATGGGCAAGGGAGGGGGGGTGGTGGGTCCGAGGGCCTTATAAACTACATATAGTTGCATTATCGCACGGCATTACTTGATATGCAAAAGCTAGGGGAATCCACTTGTCGTGTTTGGCATACGAAATGACAGTTTTTGGACTCGAAAACCGGTTCAACGAAAGCGAAAAAAAGTGGCACAAATAGTGTTTTCTCGGCCAGGTGACATTTGCAATTGCGTCACTCAAACATTGTCCCCCCAAAAGCCGGGGCAAACAAAACTTTAAAAACTATAAACGCCGCTTAGCAATTTTTTTTTTGTTTTCTCGAATCTTTCGCTGCTGCTAATGAACTTCATTTGCTGTAAATTGCCTTTAAATGACAGTGACTAAGCCCCGAATAGCGGCGCAAACATTGACGCTGAAGAAAAGAACAAAATAGAAAAAATAAACAACAAAAAATACAAGGCAAAACGTTCATTAACAAAAATTTCGCGCGTTGTTTGTCATAATTATGATTGCCGCCTAAGTTCTTTTCTGGGTTCGAGAAAAAAAAAGAGAGCCAGCGTACACTTAGACAAATATTTTAATGTAAAGGCATTTTTTTGAAGGATAATAAAATATTAAATATATATAAACAGCTTTAGAACGCAATGAATTCATTTTTATGGGTACATTCTTTTTTTCTTAACTTCTTGAATGTATAAGTTAAATAACTTATTTGTCTTTTAATTTGATTATTATTAAATTCTGTTAGTCTAATATTTCATTTAACGAAAAACATTTAAAAGTACTAATTTAATGGCAAACTTATGAGCTCTTTGGTTAATTTTTTTAAGTGTACAAAAAGAAGACAGGTGAAGGGTTAGCAAACATCGGTGACACCAAAAGTGAACCCGTAGAAAGTTGCTTGGGGTCAGGCGTGTGCGGTTCTGGTCTTTGATTTTTTACTGGTAGTAAAAATATACTTTAAAACACCTTTTAACAAATTTTAATATTTATAGAAAACATTGTGTTCTATAAAAAGAAACTGTAGCAGTTATAAAGGTGCTTATCATGTCCAATCAAGTGTTGATTTTGGATAAAATAAACACAAGAATTAAGATAAATATTTATAAGACCAAAACAGTTAAGCCGTCAATTTAGGTTAATTAACATGAGGAGAGTAGAACACTTTTTATGAAGGTTAATGACTGATAAATTAACACCTGTTAAAAATGTATTATTTCTTCTCCCGCATTAACAAATAATTCATTGTATTTGTAGGAGAATTGTAGAATTATAAAAATATAAGATTAGACAAATTATAAACATGGCAAGGAAGAGTTCGTTTAATTATTTGCTGAAATATTGATCTGAAGCAATCTGATTGATTCAATGATATTACTAAACCCAGCTGCACTTACACAAAGTTATGGAAAGTATTACGCAATGACAACTGGTTTATCATCGCGGGAAAACAAAACAAAAGATGCAGTTTGTTCAGCTGGGTTGATTCTAGTTCGATATATCGGACGATTTAGGAGTGGCACCACTTACAAAAGACAACAGAAGTCTTTGTATGTCCAGTGATTAGTCATTGCGATCAGTTCGATTGACCATAGTGTATAACTACACTGCGAAGAAAACTATAATTTGTTGGTTCTGATCTCGAAATGTAACATTTATTATTAGGTAAAAATATATTTTGTAAGGAGAACTGACTAATCTTGGTAATACTTCTGCACTAAGTTCTTGATTCTACAATCTTTAGGTTTCTCCAATAAGTTCCTAAAACCATTATGTATAGAGGAAGTCCTAAACCTTTATTGTCGCATTTCCTTGTCTTATCGAGTCTCGAACTTTCATTATCTGCGTTGAATTAGATTTATGTTCTACAAGTTATAACCTAACCGAAATGACAATTGCCACATAATTCGCTGGCTGATACAATGGCTATTAAAAAACCAATTACGTTTAAATACCGTGTCCCTCTCTCAGAGGTTTTTTGTGCTCATTTTCCCATTATCTCTCTATAGGTTTACTTGACAAATGGTATTGCATTTAACCGAAAACTTTTTGATGCGTAAGCAATTTGTTGAAAACCATTTGGACTGCTGAGAATGTTTTAAAAAGTGTTGCCACGTCACGGGAGATCACGAATATTTAAAGATGACTCAATCGAAAATTTGCTACTATATGGGTTTTCACTAATTTATTCCAGCTTAGCATGCATATATTTGTTTATTTTGTTGTAAGATGAGTCACCATTTTTATGATATGCATATTAGTTGTGTGGACTTGACTTTTTGATTCGGACTTCACTTAAGTAATAGTATGTAAAATAAATAGGGTAAATATAAAATTACTTAAAATATACATTGATATAGAATTTCTTACTTTGAAAATGGAAATATTTGATCTTGGTGTCCTCCTATGTTTCCTTTTTTTGGGATTATTAAGTTTATTTTATTTCAACTGAATCCTTAAAAGGACCTTCGACTTTATACAAATTCGTGAACGACCTGGCAACCCTGCTGTAGTAGTGCACCTGAGAAAGAGAAAATGAGAATGGTTAAATTTATTTATCGGTGGAAGAAATAGAGAGAGACTATGAATCGCAGGAAAGAGGGAAAAATCAGCAACGAATTGATTCATTATTAAATGTTATTGTAATGTGTAATATGAAAATCTGCTTTCTGCAGATGTCTTTTACTTAATGTAGTTTTAAGTAGTAAGTAACTCATTATGAACCGTCTTTTTTTGTGATTCAGGATGACGGGTTTTTAAAGTAAGTGGTTTTCTCTCCGCCGCTCTTTTTTTTCTCTCTCCTCTCTTTTTTTTTACTGATAAGGAACAGTTCGATTGGAATGTTGTTTTTGTTTTGCCTTTTTTTTCTGATAAAAGAAAAGGCATAAATAGTCCGCTCAACTGAAGCACTCAATTAGTACTCAGCTTTAGCTCGTGGAAAGCGATTCAGTCAAAAAAATAAAAGAACGAAGAAGAAGAAAGCAAGAAAGAAAGGAGTTGTCACAACAAATTAAAACTAAAAGCTCGCATCCTTGGCTCTCTTTCGCTCTCTCGCTCCCCCTTTCTCTCGCTTTCTCTCGATCAATTGAACTTCTCTTCGTCTCGTGCGCGCTCTCTCTTGTGTTTGTGTGTGTAACTAGCTGTGTGCAAATAAATTAATTTTTTGTTGTTTGTTTATTTTCGCAACGAAAACAAGAAGGAATTTCGTAAATAATAAAATTAATTCCGCGTGCAAATATACTTTGGAATAATGGCCGATATTGGTACCGTGAACCAGAACCAGACGACCGAGGAGTTCAAGCAGAATCTCGAGGAGCTGATTCCCAATGTAGGTGGCGCCACTGTGCCTGCAACAGTGGATAACCGCTATGCATTATGCTTGAAAAACGAGAGGACAAAAAATATGACAAATGTTTAGATCCCTTTCAATTAAACTTTAAGGAACAGAAATATAATTGAAATCTAAAGTATTATTAAGCCTCGGTTTCTGAACATTTTTTTTATGTATAAAGCCAAGGATTTTAAAAAATTATACTTTTGAAATTTGGACTATGTAGTGTACCTAAAGTCTGCACTGTATATTTTTTATTACTCAATTCACGTAATCACTCCCTCTCGATTTTGGTGTGTCGGTGTTTTTTTTTTCCTGCCCTATCACTTTTCCACGGGGCACTTTATAGCTTTTTAATCGATAACACCGATAGGTGACACGCATACCAATACTCATAAGCGGGGCCTTTACAGTGAACACCTCCGATAAAGAGCACGCGCCCCAACTGACCCACTGTAACCCCGTCGCACTTCCCCCTGAAAATATGGCGAAAATCTAAATCACTTCCGTTCGATGTCAGTCATATGTTGGCCAAAAGTATTCCCCTCCCATCGGTCTATTTCATATTCCCTCTTTTCGCCAAGGACAACACCCTCGATGGCTTTTCGGTTTTCCCCCCCTCGAGAACCGCCCATCATATCATTACCATATACGTAATCGAGTGCTGTTTTCGATTTTATGTTAGCTTTTTGGCGCACAGAAATTTATCTTATCGGCAAACAGCAAAAGCGGAGCAATCAACGCACCACTACCAAACCGAGTTACCAACCACTGAGCCATAAATTCCACAGTCCAGTATCAGCCCATTCACCTGCCCCTTCGTCCCCTACCCCGCCGATTTTCCTTATTTTGCACACACGGGAAATGGGAAAGAGCTTAGTTTTTATGACACCACCCGGCTAAATATTTGGTTTTCCCCTAATTTCGGATTTCAGTTTGGGTTCCAGGGAATTCGCAACAAACGGGGGCTTTAGGAACACTAAAACCCAAACATATTGCAGAAACTTTGATCATAATGGGCTAGTTCAGTCCTTGCTACCAATAAAATATAGATGATGGTTTCAACATAGACTATAAAGATTGGGTAGATAGCAATTTAAAATATTTTATGCTGTTTAATAGTTTAATACTTGAATGAACTAAAAGATCAAAGGGTTTTCTAAAAAACTTAACCATAGATGTATTGGGTAAGGTTAGTTGTTAATACAATCAGTTTAGTTAAGATAGTTTTATAGTTTGTACAAAGTTTTAGTTTTGTTTATAAAAAATTTGTAAATATTAGCTTATTGAAAATATACAACTTTTTCAAATATTCTAAAGTGCTACAAAGAACATTAACCAGATGCACTTAAAACCTCATTAAGTTTTATTATCCTGTTTCAAATAACCTTAACTATAGTCCTATACGAATTATAATGTATAAACTGAATTTCTCAAAGCTTGCCAAAGCTCGTCCTTATCTAAGATATTTTAAGCATATTGACCAATAGTCGCTCTCAATCTTTTAATATGACTAATAAATTAAAAGCTTGTGAAACCCAAATTATCAAGACTATATTTACTGATTGGCCTTACCTTTGTAGTGGATTCTGTTAGTATTCAAAAATGAGAAATCATCTGAACTAGAAATTGTAATTTAAACGGTCAACTCTTAGTCATCATCAAACGAGGAAATTAATTTGGCGGTCCGAGTCTCAAGTATTTTGCAACTGATTCATCGGGTGATTTACAAAAATTTGTTTGGGCTTTCACTTCTTCGATTTTTTCAAAGACTCTTCAATTACTGGTCTATTTCTTTCGGCGCCCACTCACACTTTTGAACTGTATAATTTGAAACGAGCAATTTTCGATAATCAAGCGATATGTCAGTCAGGTGAAAGATAGTACCGCTCGAACTGAAAACTGAAAAATGGAAATTAAATTCGATAAGGCCGGCACACAGACTGGGCGATAAGGTCGCGGGAGATGGAAAATACAGTTTTGCATACCGAATTCCACAGATAAAACAGGTGGGGGCACTGGAATGCGGCTGTGTGTTTGGCGTTCGGATTTGATTGATGACTCACAGATCGATCGGGCAATCAACGGGCGACTCACTCATGACCGAGGATTACTCATAGAAATCTCCTCTTTCTCGTTCGGTGCGCCCTTTTAGGTAATTTCAGATTCCGAGAAGGCCAGGAAACAAATATATAAATAAGAGATATTTTAAGGTTATTCCTTTTTTACTTTATATGTATATAATATCAGTTGCTTTTGCTAACTGAAACTGAAATGCGTCAGGTAGACAAAAAACTCAATGCTACCATTTATTTTATTTTTGAAAAATCATTTCTTCCGTTTTCTTGTGCTAATACCTATATTTTTTATTTTAAAATTTAATAGGAATAATGTTAATCAACATAACATATTTTTGTTATGATATAAAATTTAAATTAATTGATTGGTTATTAAACTGACATGTATATTAATTGGATTACTCCTCCCTCTTTCCAGTTGGATGCCAACAAGGATGGCTTCATTGACTTGCACGAGCTGAAGGATGCGCTCAACCAGGTGGGCTTCAAGCTAGCCGGCTACCAGGTGCGCGAGATGATCGATGAGTACAAGGGCAAACAGCGGACCGCCTTCCAGGGCAAGCTGAATCTGGAGGAGTTCGAGGCACTGTGCCTGGACCTGAAGAGCAAGGATGTTGCCAGCACATTCAAGACGGTCGTCTCCAAGAAGGAGAACCTGGAGACCCTCGGCGGCATGTCGAGCATCTCGTCGGAGGGCACCACCCATTCGGTGCGCCTCGAGGAGCAGCTGGCCTTCTCCGACTGGATCAACTCGAATCTGGGCCACGACAAGGACCTGCAGCACCTGCTGCCCATCGACGGCGAGGGCAAGCGCTTGTATCTGAGCATCAAGGATGGTATTCTGCTGTGCAAAATCATCAATCACTCCTGCCCGGACACAATCGACGAGCGGGCGATCAACAAGAAGAACCTCACCGTCTACCGGGAGTTCGAGAATCTGACCCTGGCCCTGGTCTCCTCGCAGGCGATTGGCTGCAACATCGTGAACATCGATGCCCACGATCTGGCCAAGGGCAAACCGCATCTCGTGCTTGGTCTTCTCTGGCAGATCATCCGCATCGGCCTGTTCAGCCACATCACCCTGGACAGCTGTCCCGGTTTGGCTGGCCTGCTGTTCGACAACGAGCGTCTCGAGGATCTGATGAAGATGTCGCCAGAGGCTATCCTCCTGCGCTGGGTTAACCATCACTTGGAGCGGGCCGGCATCTCGAGGCGGTGCACCAATTTCCAGTCGGACATCGTCGATTCCGAGATCTATTCGCATCTGTTGAAGCAGATTGCCGGCAACGATGCGGATGTCAATCTGGATGCTCTGCGGGAATCGGATCTGCAATCGCGAGCGGAAATCATGTTGCAGCAGGCGGCCAAGCTCAACTGCCGCAGCTTCCTTACGTCACAGGATGTCGTCAACGGTGTCTACAAACTCAATTTGGCCTTCGTGGCCAATCTGTTCAACAACCATCCGGGATTGGACAAGCCCGAGCAGATCGAAGGACTCGAGTCCATCGAAGAGACGCGCGAGGAGAAGAGTAAGTAGTCCTTACGATCGGATTATAACAATTTACAAGCCCTTAAGTGGATGATCTGAAAAAAATAAAAATGAAATACTTTTCTAGTATAATTTTTCTAACAGGTTTTAAAATTGGCTTAAATACTTTTTTATAGCCTATTATTTTATTTTAGTTAAACATATCATTCATTACTAAATTGTATTGAGTAAAAATTAACGCAAATAGAATGCAACGAGCATTTCTTTGAAATGATTGCAAAATTATATTGATCAAGAGGTTACAGGCAATAAAATTAATTTTTTAGTAAATACAGATATCAACGACAATGGCTTCAATTTAAAGCTGAAACAACACTTTTTGTACTTATAAAGATAATATTTTATTAATAACCTCTGCGCAAGTGCAAGCCATAAGAAACTCAGTATTTTACTTCAATTTGATAAACTTGAGGGATAGTTAAAAAAAATATATATACATATAACAAAAATAAGTACATTTTTCAGAAAAACACAATGGCAAAAATTTGAAATATTTAGAATATAGATTTAAGTTTTTTAATAACATCTATTAATTTGTATTTTACTTCTTTTCTAGCCTACCGCAACTGGATGAACTCGATGGGCGTGGCGCCGCATGTGAACTGGCTTTACTCCGATTTGGCCGATGGCCTGGTCATCTTCCAGCTATTCGACGTCATCAAGCCGGGTATTGTCAACTGGAACAAGGTGCACAAGCGCTTCAGCCCGCTGCGCAAGTTCATGGAAAAGCTGGAGAACTGCAACTACGCCGTGGAACTGGGCAAGCAACTGAAATTCTCGCTGGTCGGAATCGCTGGCCAGGATCTTAACGATGGAAATGCCACGCTGACGTTGGGTAGGCATTAATATTCAAAGAGATGATGCAAAAAGACTATACTTTTGTAATAGTTACAAATCTTCAAATGGGTGTTTATAAGCGCCTTAGGCATTTTCAGTCTTTTTGCATTTCTAATTTATAGTTTTATTATGTGATACTAATTGTGAATTTCTTCTTTTTTATAGCTCTCATCTGGCAGCTTATGCGCGCCTACACCCTGTCTATTCTGTCCCGCTTGGCCAACACTGGCAACCCGATCATCGAAAAGGAGATCGTCCAGTGGGTGAACAACCGATTGACGGAGGCTGGCAAACAGTCGCATCTGCGTAACTTCAACGACCCGGCCATAGCCGATGGCAAGATCGTGATCGATCTGATCGATGCCATCAAGGAGGGCAGCATCAACTACGAGTTGGTGCGCACCAGCGGAACGCAGGAGGTGAGTTTTCGAGGGTTTTCACTATACCATCATTTATTTTGGTATGGTTTGTTTTGTTGGCAAAAAATCCTGATACTTATCTTCGAATATCAATAACTAATCTAACGTTTTTTTATTCAGGATAACCTGGCTAACGCCAAGTACGCCATCTCCATGGCCCGCAAGATCGGCGCCCGCGTTTATGCACTGCCCGAGGACATCACCGAGGTGAAGCCCAAGATGGTGATGACCGTCTTCGCCTGCATGATGGCCCTCGACTACGTGCCCAACATGGACAGTGTGGACCAGAACAACCACAACAGCTCCGCCAACAACAGCAATTAGGCGCCATAGCCACAACTCAATTATACATAAACAGAAGGATGGAATTTTGAAAGGGATGAACAGTGGGAACTACGTAAATTTGTCGTATTCGCTAATTACAAATTACTCTATTCGATTGCGTTCCTTCCTGCGCTACCAATACAATTTTTGTGTTTTTTTTTAATTTCGATTACTTTTTGTAATTTTTTTATTATATATTTATATATTATATAATTGAGTATGAGTTTCCCCCCTATTGTAATTAAGCAAACAGATTTTAGAGTGTCGCGCATCTGTTTCTTTATTAGTTTTGTTTAACAATTGTTTAATTATACAACCGTAACCTTATTTTATAAATAGAGGTTTTGCTCTTTCTGCTTTAAAATCCTTAAAAAAAGAATTAAGAAACGAAAGAAACAAAAAACAAGCGACAAAGTTTACGTGCAAGATTAAGAGAGAATTGTAATATTAACATTGCGACGAAAACAATGAAAACAATTAACTTTGTAATATATATACATATATATTTATATACGATTACGATATGCGCCTATATACATAACATATATTTACATAAATCGATATATTTTTCCATAAATGCGTTGCCTGAAGGGAGATAACGAAGGAAAACCGGGATCGGAATATTTAAAAACAAAAGAATTCGAGAAAAAAACAGAGTAAATAATTTTGTATTTAATAAATATTTTTTTTGCAAATAATTGTAAGCCGCTTTTGTTTATGTTTTTTTCCAACGTGTGTGTTTGTTCTATTTCTTTTTACATATTTGTATAATTTTGCGTTTAAGTGAGTTAGAGCGAGGTGGCAATAGGCAGCGCCAGCATGGCGCAGAAAGAGAGGGCAACAAACATTTTTTAGTGCAATGGACGTCAATAAATCCAAGAGAAAAAAACAAAATAAGAAAAAGATGAAGTAATACTATATTCATAATATAAATAAAACAATAAAGTAAACCCAAAACAAAAATGTGTTTCAGTTGTATTATACTGGGAAATATCGTTATATACAATAATTTACAAAGGTACTTAAATAATTTTCAGTAGTGAACTTCATTTTGTAAAAAGCATACCTTGTTGAAAAAGTCTTTTTATTTTTATTGTATTCTAGAAAAAAAACGTATTCATGTTTCTTCGGAAATTTAACATAAATTTATGCTAAACATCGCCGTTTTTGTGTGTACTACAATAACAATACTTTTATACCAGTATTTATATTAGTAAATCGCTAAATTCTGTCACTTTGTATTTTTGTTTTTATATACTTTCTGATTCGTATATTTTGTAATATTTTTAAACTGTGACCGGACATGTAAAGTTGATTCATTTGAAGGCTTCATCAAACATGAGATCAGAAAAAGGCTTTCGATCGATGATTCAGCCAACTTTGTATTTTATGGACTTCCATAACCCTCTCATTCCGTGGAAACAATCATATGGAAGATATGAAAAGCAACGTCTTTTACGTCTACGATAAGGTCCCGATAAGGCCCCTATAACAGAGGTGCTTAGTATTTCGGACCCTCCATTTAATCGCGCGGCTTATCAGATAAGACGCTTCTCACATGGCAAAACAAATCAAGTGGAAGGGCAATGAAATCAAATCGCCGTACAGGTGTCCAGCGACACATGCGCTGATAAAACTAGAGTTTAAGTGAACATTGGAAATGGAAATACTGATAAAAACTCCAAATTTTGGGGAAAATATATTTCTTTGATCAGATTTGATTTTGTAAGCTTTCTGTAAGCGCCATTTTGTTGGAAATTTTGTAACGAATTTAACGAGGTATGCCATTCCAGCATTCGACCACTATTTCAAAGGGTTTGGATTAAAAAACCGAAAATTCGAGCTGATATTTTTCGGATTTTGTCCAAAATATTTTTCATAAAGGGTAGTTTTTTTGTTATAACAATATTTCTTATGAATTGTTAGTGGAACTTCTCTCTTATTTATTATTTAAGCCAAAAAGTAGGCAAAATTACATTTAAATGTAGTTTTGCAATTGAAGATATTTGAAGCCAGAAAATGCAGCCTAGAAATATGATTTAAAAAATATTATTGTTTATCAATCTATTGTTATAGGCCTTCAAGACCCATCATTATCTATTGATAAGTGCGGGTTGTGTCTTTCATGGGTTTTTTAAATATTGCGATAAATATATATTTGATGTCCAAATGATCAATTGGCTTTGTGCGTTATCAGGGCGTCAATGTGACTAGCTCAAGTTGAATTTCTTCTTAACCCGTTTCGAACCCATGGGATATATAAGTAATATATCAAAAACTTCTAAAGAATTTTGAGAATCTTTTTTTTCAATTTGAATTAAAGATGATAGATGATACAAAAAACCGAAATATGTGAAATTTTAAGATTTAAAAATAAGTGACTTAAGTAATAGCAATGTTAAAAAGTAATTGTAAGTGTAGTAGCTCTGGAATTGTTTTTTAAAAAAGGTTGAAGGAAAGATATCACATAGAGGGTTAAGAAACACGACGATATAAAAGGGCCAGAGCGCAAATGGTTGGTAATAGTTGGATAATAACAACATGAAGTATACCATTATTGCCTTGGCCGTGTGCCTGTTTTGCGTAAGTTTGCTGCTTAAAAATATATTTAAGTTCTATGATATAATGATAATTATTTAAATTCCAGGTAAATGCACTGGTGGTGCCCTATCCCAGCGAGAACTCCTCGCCGGAGCTGGTCGATTTGACCGATGGCGATGTGGCGGTGGAAGACTTCAGCTTTCTAAATGCCACCTACAAAGCCATAAAGATCGCTTTGCGCAGCCTCAAGGGATTCAATTGTATTTTGAAGTGGGTGGTGGGCATCCAGGACAGTGCCAAGCTGTTCAACAGCAATGTGCTCCTTTGTGGCGTCACCGCCAGCAAGGATGTGACCAATCTGATCAACGCCAACGCCCAGATCATCAGCACCTGCAACGACATCATCAATCTGAAGTCGAACGTGTGCGTCCTGGCCGACGACGAGCAGGCCAAGATCACCAACAGCTGCTTCGTGAAGACCCTGCGCAAGGTGTGGTCCCTGAAGAAGCAGGTCGACAAGGCCATCAGCCTGGCCAAGAAGATCCCCCAAACCGGACCGAATGCCGCCGTCTGTGTCACCGACGCAGTCAACACCCTGACTACCTACTACACCGCCTTCCCCCAGAACATGGTCAGCTGCTCCCAGCTCACCTCTTAAAGGGCTTAAGTCCCCCAACCGATTCAAGCATGCATTAAAAAATCCGTGATATCACAATTTTTGTTTATTCCTTATTTGGCAGGGAAATATTGTACTCGTTTCATTTATAAGGTGTGGTATACCTTTTTAATGCATTTAATGCAGAATCAAAAACGAAATAAATCACTTTAAATGTACAAGTACACATCTGAATGTACATAAATATACATTCTATTATATAATCAATTCTTTTTTGAGTCTTCAATTTTGTTATACAAATAGTTCTAGTTGTTTCTGTTTAGAAGAAAAGATATAAATCGAAACACACAGAGTATAATCTACATAAAGAATGTAATCAAATAGGTAAGTAATTTCTATGATATCATATCATAGCTTACCGTGTCATGACTTCTTATTGCTTTGGTTCTATATCTATTGTGTTGACAAGACAATTGATTGGAAATTCCTACCTTCCCCTTCTATATATTAATGCTATCAGTGGAGCTGATCAATTAAACAAAAGTGATCGATTTTTCACGCTTGTGGTAGATAGTAAAAGTAGGCTTTAAAGTTTCTCAAAAATCTTAAAAAATTGTAATCTTTTTTTAGCTTAGCATGTGGTCGAAAAACCGGGCCTAAGTTCAATAATGTTTCTAGAATATTGTGTCTCGTATTATCTTTTTATCTGTCTGCTACCTAAGTTGATCTAAAGTTTAAATAAATAAAATTAAAACAGAAAGAACTAAGTACTCTTTCCAATATGTTTTGTTATTGCAAGTGTTCTTACCAATAATCACACACAGAATATTGATAAAAATTGGAGTGTGACAAAAACAACATTTTGAAACTTATTAACATGCTCAATACTGACTCATAAAATTTGTATTTTTTTATTTATTTACCAATTTATTCCACTAGAATTCTTTGTTATTGGTGAGGTTAGATTTAATTTATTAGATTTATTTGAATATACTTAAAAGGTGTCAGTTAACATCGATTGGTGACTTTTCCAAGGGGTTTGTTTTGATGGGCGACTCTAAAATTAAATACTCCCGTTTTCCTGGGAGCAACAGTCAACCGGAGATTGTGCAGGTGCAGCATCGAGAGCTTGTGCAAGATATGGACACACCTATCTGGGGGCGATCTTGCAGAGCTATCGGCATGGCCACCACCCACTGAAAGAAGCCCCCTGGCTATCTACTTTCGTGTGTGTCCACACTGCATAGATAATACAAAATTAGTTTCGGACTTTGGGTGGCGTTAATTAAACCTACATATCAACGCATGGTATATTCATATTGGAACGTAGTTGTCCAAATCGAATCAGCCGGATCGCCACTTCACTGATATGGCCCGTCCAGATCTTCTATATAAAACAAACCCCACGGATCGATCAGCAAACATTCGCCAGTGAAACCATCCACCAGCAACATGAAAGTGATCAGCCTGTGCCTTCTGGTTGTGGCCTCGGCCAGCTTCCTCCTGACCACCGCCAACGTAAGTTAGCCGGTTGCCAGGGAACATACCCAAATCCAGCCGACTGATAACTTAAATAAAACAAAACAATTCACTCAAGTGCCAACGTACCTACCACACTGCCAAAAGTTGATAAATCCAAAAAGTGTGACAAAAACAAAACCCAAAAAGATACGTTGATATAAACAAACGTCTACTGTTTTTTTTTTACGCTTTTTTTTAATAAGCAATCAACAATTCTGTGCCTTTAAAAAGTATATTGTTAATACCCGTGAAACAATTTCTCTTCCTAAAAGTGCAATCCTTTTTTTTTAACTTCTAAATTGGTTTTTGAATAAATTACTTTAAGCTACTTATTTGATTACTAACAATTTAAATTCAGTTTTTAAAACTAAGCAGTGTTATATATATAATAATATAATATATTTGGATACATAATTTGTAAAAGTCCTTTTATAAAATTCTAGACCTAATCCTCTGCCCGTCGTCTTTAATCTTTAACCTTTTGCCAACCAACTTTTAGGCCAATGCCTTGGGAAACTTCGAGGACTTCGAGGCCTTCACCGATGCCGAGCTTGAGGAGATGATCGCCACCGAGTTGCTCGACCAGGAGAACGACTTCATGGGCGTCGACCAGTTCGGCTTCATCAGCGGCTGCCGCAAGGTTCTGTGGGCTGGCTACAAGGGCATCAACGGCACCAAGTGCATCGTCGAGGAGGTGGCCAATGTGCTGCTCACCTGCACCAACTACGTGGACGACCTGGCCAGCTGCACCGGGGCCATTCCCAAGGACGTCCAGGCCATGCTGGACAATGCCAAGCAGATGATCGCCACCAGCAACAAGATCCTCAACCTGAAGTCCCAGCTCTGCGCCACCTCCACCCGCGGCGTCGTCTCCTCCACCAAGAGCTTCTTCCACTGCACTTTCAAGGCCTTCTGCGCCACCATGTCGTTGGTGCGCCACATGAACACCATGATCCACCAGGGACACGACCTGCCCTTCAAGACCGGCGCCTGCTACGTGGATGCCACCAACAAGGTGGTCAACGGCTGCAACGCCTTCGTGCCCAACATCAACACCTGCATCGCCAGCATGACGTAAGCAGCTCCAGAAGTTGGTAATAAAACCATGAGATTATGAACAGAGCAATAGAACTTCTTCTTATTTGGGGGTCACTCGGCTTGGGGGGTTCCCAATATACATAGTATATATGTATATATACAAATAACACCCAAGATATCGCTAGGAACTAATGCCAATTATAAGTTAACAGGCTTAAAAAAAATATTATCAATTCAAATTCAAATTATTTTGCTTTTATTTTGGACGAAAACCTGGCAATATCCTTGCAGTCATAATGAAAAATACTGCGGAAAAGTCTCTCCCTAAAAAGTAAACATTACAAACGTTTAAATTATATATGTATTTATTGATTCATTCGTTCGTTTGTTTATTTATAGATGTATTATGTATTCGTGTATATATGTAATTAATAATAATATTGTTTGAGCCGCGTATATAAAAACAAATAACAATAAAAAAATGCTTAACCGAGACAATTAAATTAATGTCATTACTTAATAAATTCAAGCCGAGTCACAAAAAAAAAATAAAATAATAGTTAGAGAGTAAAAATGGTAAAAAATACAACACCGAAATGGAACTCAAGGACAGCAGTTAAGATTAGATATATGCGGATGTTCGCCTTGCGATCGATACTGCCCCCTAGGAATAACAATATTCTTTTTGCCAAAAAAAAAAAAAAACCTGGAGTATAATTAGGTGTAATAATAGGGGTATATGATAATGCATATAGTACAATGTAAGTAGCTAGAACTTAGGCTTAGTTTTAATCGTTTATATTAAGGTTTTTTTTCTTTTTAGAATTGCACATGCTTTAAGTTAATCGACAAAAAAAAAAAAACAAAAAAAAAATGCACCGCTTAGAAGTTGAGACTGGAATTTGGGTTGGATATGTGGATTCAGATCAGGCTGAGGCGACTGTTGGTCTTGCGCAACTGGGCGCGCCACGGGATGATGTTGTCCTCCTCCTCCTCGGCCTGTCCCTGACTGCCCTCCGGGGATTCGAGTAGCTCCTGGACTCCAACGACGCCGATACCAACACCGCCCTGTTCCTGATCCTGATCAGCACCCTTTAGTTCGCCATGGTTCTCCTTGTTGCCCAACTGGAGCTGCTGCTGATGCTGCTGTTGGAGCTGCTGCTGGAACTGGATCTGCTGGTAGTGCTGCTCCATGCCGGCCAGATTGATGTTGATGTTGTCGATGGACATGGCGCGGTTCTTCAGCCGCCAGGTGTCCGCCACCCGGTTGTTCTCCTCCACCTTGGGCGTGTAGATGGCCGCCCTAGAAGTAGGTCAGACAATTGAGGCCAGGGGTCAGGAGACGCCCCACTCCCCACTAGCCGCACACCCACTTACTTCAGCTTGTTCTCCGTCTCCTCGCGCCGCGCCAGCAGATCCCGCTTCCATTGGGGAATCTGGGAGAGACGGCGCGATTCCGCCTCCTGGGCCATCCGCTCCTCGAAGTCCTTCTTGGCCCGCTCGGCCGCCTTCTTGGCCATCATCTGGCGCTTCCAGTCGGGAATGGCGTTGCCGGCCTGGTCCCGTTCCGGTATCTGCAAGTAGATCTTTGACCCGCCTCTTAGCCACCGTTCGCTTGGGTATCCGCTGGCATCAAAACACTCACCTGGTCCACGTAGTTGTTGCCCGAGAACTGCTTGGTGATCTCCATGTAGTGCTCCGAGTCCATCCGGCTGGCCATCTGCTGCTCCACCTTCATCTTCTTGATGCCGGGTATGTCCTTGGAGATCTTCAGCTCGGCAATCAGGTCGGACTTGAGATAGGTGTCCGTGCTGGAGGTCAGGCACTGCATGCTCAAACTGCGAGCGGGCATCTGGTAGGGCTTCGGCACCTTCTGCGTGTCCGTGCGGCGCAGCTGGAGGGGATTGGAATGGATTGGCAAGGGATGATAAGTGATTGCTCGTCTTGTCCCGTTTCGTTACAAATCCTTTGATTTTATTTTAATGGGTTAAGTATGTGATTGCTCGTCTTGTCTCATTTTGTTACAACTCCTTTGATTTTATTTTAATGGATTAAATATTTGAGAAGATATCCTATGACCTTTAATGTTTTTAAAAACTTTTTATTGGATTGGAAAACCACCGGAAAGAACTGTAGACTGCCCGAAATTTCTAGAGCTCTTACGTTGGCAACATAAAACTTGAGTTTTAAACAAAATACAAATTTATTTTCTAATGATCTTTAAACCATTGAACTTGAAAATCATGGTGATTGGGAATGGGACTGGGATAATTGGATAAGTAAGATTAACTTTACCACATGTACTTTTTTTGAGACACTGAACTTAAGTCCTTATAATTGTTAACTGGTAATGCCCAAAGGATTAGGATCATCGCTCACCTGGACGCTGTTCAGATCCTGAATGGAGATGGCCGACAGGGGCTGGTGCTGCTTCCTGGTGGCCGTGTCCTGGCTGTTGGGCGCCGATCCGTGCGGCTTCTTCGGCTTGTGCGACTTGCCGGACATGGTGGCGTCCTGGCCGCCTGCCCCGCCCATCGGCGGACCCATCGGGGGCTGCGGCGGCAGCATTCCGTGGGGCAGGGGCGGCGGTGGAGGCGGCAGCGGCGGCTGCTCGCCCATTCCATGCAGCTGGTGGGGGTGGTGCGGGTGCGGATGCGGATGCGGATGGGGGTGTGGGTGGTGCGGATGCGACTGCGGATGCTGCGAGTGGAGCTGCGAGTGGTGCACCTGCTGCTGCTGCTGGGCGATCTGTATCTGCATGTAGTCCTCGGTGTCCGTGGAGCTGTGGGTGGAGTGCGTCTGATTAGCGAGAGATCTTGGCCACTTTCACTGGATAATGGGTGGTGGGTAGTGGGTAGTGGGTGGTGGGTGGTTGCTGGTTGGTGGATAGTGTTCAGTGGGCAGTGGGCGGACCTGCGCCAGGCGTGGCGTGTGCGCAGTATCATCTTCGGATTGCAACTGAGTTGCAGTGGCGGCTGCAACTTCACAACTGTGGCAAGAAAAGTGGCAGGCCGCAAAGTGGCACGCATAAAATTTCATGCACTCTTGAGCGGCAGAGGAAGTGGCAAATCTCTCAGCAAAAGTGTTGCGAATTAAGCTTGGTTTCCAGTCAAGCTTTAGATTAGATTTAGATGTTTTTTTAAATTATTTATATGTTTCATATCTTTAATAAATAGTCACTCGTTTAAAAATAAAGTCTATAAATAAAGAAATGAATAAATAAACCAAACGGGGAAACTAAGTATTACTACATTTGTATAATTGCATACTAAGTTGTACTTTTGTATGTTTTCTTTATGAATTTATGTACCTAAAACTATATTATTTTTGTTATCAAATGGTAAAGTTACTTCTTATTCAAAATGTGTAGATAACAATAGACAACTACAAAAAATGTTTTAAAAAACTCGCAACATTTCTTTGGATACTGGTTAAAATGAAAACTGGTTCAGCTAAAATTGGCTTAGCTATTTTCCCGCATGGAAAAGCCGCATCGCTGTGATCTAGCCATCTGCTAGCTGCTAATTGCCCAGCGGCAGCCAAGCGTCTTTGCAGCCATGTATCTTATTTTCTATATGTTATATTTTTTGCTGGATTTTGGCTAATTGAGGCGAGGCAACTGTACCGCCGATACTAATTATAAAAGCAGCTGCACGAGATGTTCAGCCAAATTAAATCGGCTGCCATGTGCTAATTGAAAGTCAGAGGATGGGTGATGGGGGATGGGGGATGGAGGATGGAGGACAGGAGATATTTTGGGGGAAGGAGGGACATCACTCACCGGGCGGAGGATGGACACGAACGCTTGTCGATGCTGATGCTCTTGAGATACTCGGACGGCTTGATGAGATGCGTGACGCCGTCTTGCGATTTATTGGGAAAACTGGGCGGCACAAACGGCAGCACCAGCTGCTTGTTGACCAGATTGGGTCCGCCGGTCCGCTGTCCGCCCGCTAGATGGCTCTCCCCGTAGATCTGCTGCTGCTGCTGGGTGAGCTCGTAGTGGTCCTCGGCGGAGGAGCCTCCACCATAGAGGCTGGGCGTGTACTGATGCGGCTGGTTGCTGGGATAATGCGGCTGCTGGTTGGGATAGTTTCCATTTCCATTCCCATTTCCATTGCCATTTCCCCTCTGACCCTTCGGCCCCTCCGCATAGCCATAAAAGTGGGCATTATTGGCTGCTCCGGCGGCAGTAACATTACCACCAGATCCTCCTCCAGATCGGGACTCCTCCGGATTGGCGGCACCAACTCCATTTGTGCTGCTGGCATTGAGCAGCTTGGCTTTCTTGTTCGCTGGAATTGAACCAATTTATTTATGAGTTTTGTGGGTTAGCAGTTATCAGTCTGACTCTGGTCATGCTAACTTGAGCAGCCAGCAACTAAGCAAAGAAAATGCTGAAAATACGAAAACCCAACCACAATGGATCGCTGCGTAGGCGCCTTTCACCAGACGGAGATTTGGAGGAGCCGGAGCCCCAGTTGCATACAAATACGAGCACGGGCATAACTAAATCAAATAAATTACATCTGAGCAGTAGCCCAACGGCAGTGACTAAGTGAAGCTGAGTCAAGAAATGGCCAATAAGTGCAAAATACTGAGAAGCATATTTATAACTTCAATAATTTAAGTTACATGTGAAACTATAATTTGTTATATCATTTCTTTTCATGCGAAAACTATAAGAATTCCTTCTAAAAATATATTAGTTGTGTTTTTATACTGCCTTACTGAGTCTTATTTTATATTTGTATTGCTAATTATATTTATTTCATAATAATTTAATGACCAAATGGAAGTATAACGTTTTTCCACCATTAGCATTAATACCGAATAAAAAAATAACTGTATATATATATATGCAGTGTTATTAGCAGTTAAAGAATACCCATAAAACCTAACTGAAGAGCTACATACATTTACACTTTAAGTTAATTAGGTGGAGATATGATTACTAATTGCTTACAGATATGTATGTATAATCGTGTATTTTGTTTAGATAGGGCAGACAAAGCTGCAGGGCAAAAGTTTCATTAGGCTGATGATAAGTGGACACGGGGCAAACTTAAGGGTGTCTGAGATTAGGAAAGTCTGCAGGTGATAAGCATTCAAATGTGCCTTTGATTGAGGCTAAAAGTCCATACATTTCTTGCTGGAACCTCGTGCCAGACATTCGTTAAAAGTTAAAAGAATAAATCAAAGATTGGGTTACAGAAGCCCATGGGTAATTTATGTCAATTTCATAATGTAATCTCTGGTTCCAATTATGTTCATTATTTTCCCTATGGTTTTCCTTGATCTAGCCCAAATGGGAATGGAAAGCTTGCAGTTTCCTGGGAAATCCATTCGACAGTCGGCTGATTATCCCCACACACGGAAGAATGGCTCCCTTGCCGTCGTCGTCGTCGTCGTGGGAGTATCCACATAAAAATTGAATTAGCCGCGGTTTCCATGGAAGACACCCCGGGCCGCCTCTTTGTGTCTCCCCGAATTCAATTTCCAGGCAGCCAGTTAATTGGCCAGACCCCATCTAAACCCGATCGCGCCGAGTCCCCAACTTTCACGGCCTCTGGTAACCCGTTTCCCCGGCGATCGTTACGTGGTCGCTGGTGCAGATTCATGGCTGCGCTCTTATGGCCAAAACCACTGGCAATCGAGTCCAGCCAGTTTGCATTGAATTGATTTATCCGATCCGCAGCAAAAAAGAGCGAACGAAATGCGCATTTTTCCACATGTCCCCACACATTTATCTATTAATTTGTGCGGAGCAAAGCGGTTTGCACTTGTCAAGTCCGCGGTGAAATTTGAAATTGGAGTTGATGTCTAGTTCGGTTTTTTTTTGTTTGTTAGCTGTTTTACGAGTGCAATGCCTGATACTTGGCCTTTACAAAGGCAACCAAAATAGTTTTAAAGCATAACAAAATGTATTGCATTTTTAACTTGAATAACAAAGTTTGGTCTTCGAGTTAAAAATAAAAGGGAATTTTATGCTTATGACTTCTTCTCCTGTTGAGAGTTTGTTAAGCATAAAATTGACATTCATTTTTAACTTAAGACCCAGCTAAAAATGTATTTTATATTACACAATCACAAAACAAAATGTTTGCAGTAGTACTTTTTTCTACTCCATATTTTTGGAAAGACAATTATGAAGGATATATTTAAGTTTAAATACAAACAATTTTAAAGGAAGAATTGCATTTTAAGGGTAATGATGAGAAAAGAAAAGAAATTCAGTATTACCAAGAGACATAATTTTAATTAGGTAAACAAGAATTTATCACTGCTTTACAATTTATTTGCATTATGAAAGCTAATTTGCATTGCATTTATATAAGTTATTTTAAAGCAAATTTAAAAAAAATAACACTTATTATTTTGACAAATAACACTTGACAAATAACACTAACACACCGTAGATTAAGTTTGCAAAAATCAAGTGAAGTTCGGAATCGAATTGAGAACACAACAATCCATCTCAGTAGAGGTTGTGTAAGGTTTATCATATAAAAAACACTTCACAAGCTATATATATCGATACCCTTTATCATATAGCATTTATTTTTGGGAATCACTTACACCGAAAGATATCGAACCGGTGAAAGCTGAGCGTGAAGTAATTTCGACGCGAGTTCTTGTGCATCTTAACCGAGCCCAGCATGTTCATTTTGATCACGGTATTAAGTTAGGCACATTCTCAGGATTTGACGATTTGAGTTAACGCAAGATTGATGGCCGGAAAAGCGGAAAAGCGGATAAATCGGGGAAACTTCGGGTGACGATGTTGCCTGGGCGAGCTCCGTTGGCAGCCTGAACTGGGTTCAAGCCATCGCCAAAGTTATTCACCCAAGACGACGACGGATCGCATTGGCTCCAAAAGAGAGAGAGACCGCTGCCTCGGAAACACGTTCACTTTCGTGGGTAAAAGTTTCGCAGATCCACGAGCCGATTGCCACGAGGGGGCGTGGCACATGTGGTGGGCGGTGGTGCGGGTGGCGGTTCGTCGGTCGCCAATTATTGTGGCCAAATGTGTGTGGGACCTTCGCGACTTGTGGCTGGCAAATAGCTTCCTCATCGCGAATCGGAGATGCCATATGTCCAGTGTATGTGGTATATACATACATTTGTTTGAAGGCCTCTTACCCAACGACAATTGACAGCAATGTTGGTTCAGACACTTTGAAAAGCTGAGAGGAATTCACACTTGCATACATCTCAGAAAACCTTTTCTCGGAATATGATTTGATGTCTACATGTTGATATTCGAATCCAGGATTCTATTCTATTTCTCTGATTGTAGCCCTTTTTTTTATAATCAGCCAATGTTTGTTTAAATATTAAAAAACAAATAAGAAACCGAATTTACTATTCCAAAAATAACTTTCACACCAAAAAATTTAAATAAAGGAAGAAATCCAAACAACATCTAAAAGATATTCAATTTAAGATATTTAAATATTGGATTTAAATGTAACAGATTTTATCCCAAGCAATTGCAGCTTGATCATTTCTTATTTCTATATTTATATAACATTAATATTTAATAGAATTATATTCAATCTTTGTTTCTGTTGAGCTAGGCAAGCAAATGTATGAGATTGCACACGTTTTCCATTTTGTCGAGTGTGGCTCATATCTCATATCTCATGACTTATGCTTTATACGGCAGTCAAGTGGCTGGGATTGTTTTCATCGCTGGCACTTCCACTTTTTCACTTTTCCACCGTGCAGTCCGACTTCCACTTCTTTGTTTTGGCCACATTTTCCACGGATCTTTGCCGCCTTATCGTGTGAACGTCGGATCAATTAAAGCCTCTCTCCGCCAATTGCCCCTCCCCTTTTCGCCGCCTCTACCCCTTTCTCCATTTCTCCTGCCCCATCGGACATAATGGGCAATTAACGAATGGAAAATCGGAGCCAACACATGTCAAACATGGCAGCTATCATTCGCATTTTTCTGTTTTTTTCTTCTGCAGTTACGGCTATTGTGGCAATTAAGTCGGGCCCGATATTTATTGTGTGATAATGAGGGGTATTGTTTTTAAATGTCTGCTATTCGACTAGGAAAACGGCTATTTAGATTTCTAACTAATGATTAGCAATCGTATCCTTAGGTCTCAAATATGTTGAAATATGTGGTTAAAGCTTTTAAAATGGCACTTGATACACATTTATACATAAATGGGGTATATTTAATTAATAAATGTTTTATTCTTAAAAAAGGCAAATATGTTTATAATACTTTGGCTGTTTATAAACTTATCAAAACTAATTTGTATTAACTGAGAGCACTGGTTACCCATCATAACAATCTCATAACAATCACAAAATCTCCTAATTAACTAACTAATATTTTCCAAACTGACGACATGATTAGTATGGCTTTGTTAACACATCCATTACCTCACACTGTTCAAAAGCCAACACTTCGATCAAGATGTAACCATTATCCCATCCGATGGACAGCCATCGACTACCGATGGAAGATCAGGTTCTCCGCGGGCAACTCGTTTCAGTCTTCACTCACTGCAGGGCACTTGGCTGCCATTTCCCCCCGAAATGAACATGACTGGCGAATTTCCCCTAATTGATCAATCAAGGCGAACAATGGACAGTGGACAAGTGGTCACAAGCCACCGACGATGCGGAACCCCCAATGATTTTAGTGGAGTTCAAAGACCTGGTCGTACGATTGTGGAACTTTAATTAGTTAATTGAATGCATCATCGCCCCTTTTAGCCAGCTTCTTGACGCGATGTTTGCACATGGAGGTCTTCGAGTAATAGTTACCCCCACTGCAATGGTGGCACAGGAACCGGGAAAGGTGGGTTTTCCGAGGTTTTCCCCTTGGGGCACAAGCTCCATGGCCAGAATTTCCCTCCCGTTTGCCGTCACTCATGCCTAGAGTAATAACTGAAGGATTTGGCCAAATCGGTGACCCTGGCTTGGTCACTTTAACACTGCAGAGATGACAATCCAAGAGCTGGCGATCCTCTTCACATATCTTGTTTGGATTTAAGGAGTCCAGAAAGAGAGTCGGATTGCCGGCGCTATAAATGATATAGGTGTTCTTCGTATTCATCTCCCTGGGCCTCTTGATCTCCGAATCTCTGGACGTCTCAGTTTCTGAGCAATCTATATCGTTCACAACTATATCCTGGCTTGAATCGCTCATCGTACTCCCCCTTTTTTAACGTACTCAAAGTTATGCCAATTGTGCCCAATCTGGTGGAGCATCTGGAAATTTTGAAAACTTTTCGGGAAACGAACGTAACACTTAAGCAAAGTTGTTTTTCGGGGGAGAAGCCTTCAGAACTGACACTTTTTTGAGAGGCTACTGATCTTGAATAAATCTTTAAAATATTAATACCTATTATGACTTTTTATGATTAAACGAATTCTTATGCACCCATGCCTATATAAAATACACCTGTCTCAATATTTTTTTCAATAATTAAGCAACGTAATTTCTAAAGTTTGTACAACTTAAACCCTAACCTAGTGTAAAATATTATGTAAATATTTATGACTCACCCGAAATGGTGGACATGGTGCGATTGTGGTTGCCGCGCACCAGTTCCGATGGCCTCAAGCTCGGCTCCTCGACCACCTCGAGTCCGGAATCGGAGTCCACGGCATCGGTGACCACGGGATTGGGAGCCGGAACTGGAGGAGGAGCTCCACTGGCGGTGGTTGGACCCTGATTCGGTCCGAACACATTCTTCTTGTAGATGTTGTTGCTGCCGTTCATGTTGTTTGGCTGCTCGGCGTTCAAGTTGTTGCGCTGCTGCTGAGGGGGTGCCCTCAAAGGTGGCGGCAAGGGGGGTGGAGGTGGTCCATTAACTTGGGGATAAGAAAAGAAATTCTAGTTATTCACAGGTTTCAGAAAGTTAAATACAAATTATTAAGACCTTAAAACACCTATACATGTTTCCTCTAAACAATTCTGTGAGTTTAAACTTGAAAGTATGTAAAAGCATTTATTCTGATGTCTAAAAGTATGCAGAGAAACTATTTGGACATTGTAATTTGTAAAAAATAATGGTTTTGCATAATTTATTTTTGCATATGCATATTGTTAAATTTTTCTAAAATCTCTGTGGTTATAGAACAATAATTTTGATATTTCTAAGAATTATACAAATGCTTTAAAGCAGTTAAATAAATATAAGGTCAGTGATTGAAATATTTGAGAATTATATATTATTAAATTAAATTAAATGAATGATTTAGAACCAACTTTTAGAAGTCAATAACTGTGATAGGTAATATATATACTAGACTCACCCACTGCCAAATTTTGCATTGGCGGCGCCGAGGAGACGCGCTTCAGATTCCTGCTGCTCTGACTGCCGCCGTTCATGTTGCTCATGTTGCTCATGCTGCTGATGTTGCTGATGCTGCCGCTGATGCTGCTGCTGTTGTTGGTGGAGGCATCCGCCAGGTTGTTCCGGATCATGGAGTTCTTGTGCGTCTGCTTGGTCCGCTCGGCCACGTCCTCCGGCGGACAGACGCTCTCGTAGGTGTCGCTCTTGATGCCGCCGTTCAGCAGCTGGTTCTTCAGGTTCACGTTCTTCGCACTGTAGTTGTCCTTCGTCGAGGACTCGTACTTGCTGCTGTGCAATCCAATAATCGAATGCGATTTATTGCGATTCAGCAGGCTGTTGTTGTTGTTGTTGGTCAGTGAAATGTTGCTGTTGATGATGTTGCTGCTGTTGTTCATGTTCCGCTTGTTGTTCAAGTGCTGTAGGTTAAAAGATAGTAGATTAGTTAGCACAACAAACCATAAATGTAGTTAAAAGCACAAGAAGTATTAGTACTTTTGCTCTGTTATATCTTGGAAACCATATATCCGAATGATATATTGCTTTCATTTGAATAAGGAAGCACCATGAATTGTTTACTATTTAATAAAATCTAGACTTTCACAAGCCAATTCTCACATGATTGCTGTACTGCAGCACAATGTCCGTGCTCCTGGTGGAACTGGCACTGGCCGATCGCGAATGGGAGCCACTGTCCCGCGATCGCGAGCGTCCCACGTTATATTTGTGTTGCTGCTGCTGCTGCTGCTGTGGCACGGCCTGATGTTGCAGCTGCTGCTGTTGTTGCTGCAGCAGCTGGTGTTGCTGCTGCTGCTGGTGCTGCTTGCGCGACTCCTCGCGCACCAAATATATGTCCTCGTAGTCGTGATCGCCACCGCCATTCTGATTATTCGGCAGCCCCTTGTGCGGCTTGTAGTTGTTGATGTTGTTCTTGCTGTTGCCGCTGGCGCTTATGTTGCTGATGTTGCTGCTGCTGCCGTGGCGATTGAAGCTCTGGCTGCGCAGCTGCTGCTGCTGCTTCGGCGAGTTGAAGCTGGACGAGATGGACACGGACTCGTCGGAGCCACTGCCGGCTCCACTGGAGCTGGAGTGGACATCCGCCTGGATGGTCATGGCATTACCCGCCTTCGACTGCATCAGCTGGTGGCCGTGGCCGTGGGCGTGGGCGTGGCTCTTGCCATGCTGCTTCACACTGCTGCTGCAATCGGAGTCCACGAACAGATCCCGCACGCGATTGTAGATGATATCCTGCGGATCGTGGAGGAAGAAGGACTCCCCGGAGATGCTGCCATTCGGCGAGGGCGTATTGTACATCCCGCCATTCCGCATGGGATTCACATACAGTCCATCGTTGGGCAGCAGGGCACCTCCACCTCCGCCACCGCCTCCTCCTCCTCCACCGCCGGCACCCGAAGAGCCATTACCTCCCGCATTGCCACCCAAGGAGGATGAACCATTGTATAGCTTCTCGGACGAGCTCCTCGACTGCTGCGAGTACAGGGCATCGCTGTTCTTCCTCGAGATTCCCAGGCCCATGCCCATGCCCATGCTGCTCATCCCCATGCCCATGCTCATGCCCATGCCCATGCCCATTCCCGATCCTCCAGCTCCGCCCGCGATGGCCGGTGGATGCAAGTAGAACGGCTCCACATCGGAGCTCAAAGTCGAGGAGGACTTGGACTTGATCGTGTTACTGCGACTCGTTTGCTTCGAGGAATTCGAGTTCGAGTTGCAGCTGCTGCTCAGGTGTTGCTGCTGCTGCTGGTGTTGCTGCTGCTGCTGCTGATGTTGCTGGTGGTGCAGTTGCTGCTGGGACTTGTGCCGCTGCGAGCTGCTCTTGCCATTGTAGTCCACCGAAGTGCCATGCTGAACCAAGACATTCAGGCACTAGACAATAAAAGGGGTTCAATTATTAACTAAGATACATAAAACTTTAACTATGAAGATTGCAACCCACCTCAACCTGTTGATTTTCTGCGGCATCGTTGATCGGGGATTTGCCATATTTATCCAGGGATAATTTCGCTCCATGATTGAGCAGCCAGCGGACTACGGAAAGGTGGCCCCGGGAGGCGGCAAAGTGCAGGGGCGTGGCACCATCGCCATCCCGCAGATTGGGATCAACACCTTGATCTTGGACCTATGCGAAGAAAAGGGAAAGCATATATTATATAACAGATAAGTAAAATGGTATAAATAAGATTATAAATATTGGGTTCTTGAGCTTTCATTTTGTTATATTTCAAGATAATTGTTCTTTAATGTTTTTTATATGAGTCCCAATTATTATTATAAATACATTATCAGACTAGTTTTCTATCGAAATACTGCAAGACACATTCCCATTCCAAGCGATCGCTTAATGTCTGCTTAGTCCGAAACACAACTGCCACTCCAGCCATGTTTATTATAGCCAATCCATCTAAAAGCCTAAATACTTCACTTATGTCTTGACGAGATGTTGAGGTATCTATTCCTCACTGTCCACTCAATTGCCGGCTCCTCCAGCCAGTGTCCACTAACTCAACTCAATGTCTTTCAGCGGTCGAGTATCTAGCAGACGAGTGCTTTGTGGAAAGTGGTTTGCCAGCCGTCAGGCGTTGTGGCTATAATGGAAACTATTTAGTTCAATTTAGAAAGGTGGATTTTCCACTGCCTCGCGCCTCTGGCGATGATCTTGAAAATGCATTCTGGCCCATTGGGGGGCCATTGTCGGCGTTGGGTAAATCTTTGCATAAGCCACTCTCTCCGCCCCTTGGCCTCCTCCTCCTCCTCCTCATCTTCCTCAGCCGGACGCATTTCCCGATTGATAAATGGCACTGGCCTGGCGACAAACTGGCCGAGAATCCCACTCGAGAACCCCGTTAAAGCCACCGAAACAGGACCCACAGACAACAGCAAAAAGAGACGACTTCTAAGCCACACTGAGCGAAACAAAAACACTAAATGGAGTGCTAAGAAATTAATATCTTAGAAATGGTGTGAATGTCTACGTTTTCTACTTCTACTAAGAGGTGTTGATATATAACGAGAGGAAAAGTAAGAACTTTATTCTTACTGAAATTATGGAAGAAATGTTGCATTGCAACAAAAAAATAAATAAATATTTTTTTAATATGCCTAATATTATAAAAACTTTTTAACTATTGTGATTCACCACCAAAAAGGTTATTATCGTCAGGCAAATATAACAATCGTTATAAATGAGAATACTCTAAACAAAAGTTTATAAGTTGTTTTTTGATACAATATATAATATAAGTATTTTAAAATGAATATATATTTTTTGTCAAATATTATTTTAACTATTACGTTAACGGACATTATGTTTTGTTTTATTTTTTAATAGAGGTAATTTATTTTTGTTGGTGCTTTAATATAATCAATCTGTCCCCAATCTAACGAGTATTTTTCGCCTGTGCCGTTGACTCTGGCAATTGACCCGCATTGCCTGCCACAGTTGGCCAAGTTGGGCGAGTTGGTAAGTTGGCAAGCTGGCAAGTTGGCAGTGTGCAGATCGGCTAAAGGCCGAAATTTAAGCGGAGCACTCACCATCCATTTGAGGCAATCCAAGCAGCCCATTTGTGAAGCGGCATGGATCGGTGCCATGCCGTCGCGTGCACGGACGTACAAAGAGCCGCCGGCCTCGAGCACCAGAAACTTGAGCACCTCCAAGTGGCCCTCCTGCGCCGCCAAGTAAACGGGCGTGACATCGTTGTCCATTTGCGTATTGGCGCTGCAATCCGACGGAAAAACATAAAAACAGAAAAGCAAGAGAAATAGAAAAAACGGAAAAAGAAAAAGTACTCATTAATTGCCATCCAATTGGGCGTGCTAAAATAAAGTGTTTAATGAGCAAAAAGTTGCACCGAAAATAGCTAAAAGTGTTCTCATTTCAAAGACCTATCATTGGCAATCATATATATATATATATGTATATATATGTGCTTGTATAACTGCAGTTAATCACTAGAAACGCACTGGGTCACTGGAAAATCTTCTCGGCGTTTTCCTCTTCTTTAACCGGTTTTCCACTTTTTTTATTGCGGAATATCATTGATCGATCGATTACAAAGGGGGGATGGTAGGCAGAGATTAATCAACTCCACCATCAATGGAATGGTAATGTCTTCGGAGAATGTGTGGGAAAAGTTATTCACCGATTTGTCAAGGGGATTAAATTCCCATCAAATGTTGACTGCCATTGATCGGAATTGGGTAACAAATTCGGAGATTAGCTCGTAATCGGAATGGATCCAATGGCATTTGCCATGGATTTTTAAATTTACTGTCCTCGTTAGCAAATTAAAGATGTAATTTAAAATATGGTTAACTCTTATAAATGATTTTCACATCATAAGATAAAATCAAAGTGATTTTTGTGACATAAATGTATTTTTAATGTATCCACACAAAAAAAATGGAAGTGGTGAGTTTTAACTTTAGTGGGAATGTGTAAAAAAATATTTAATTTGGTTAAATTTAAATTTTTGGCATATATCTATTTGTATATAAGATAAATGTTTTCTAGCCCAAGAATCAGCCTCTGGTTAATTATATTGTTAAATATAAACAGTTTGCATATAAGCTATTCTTTTTATATCCATCAAAATTGCATTTCGAGAAATGAGCACACATTCTATTTGCTTCCTTAGTAATTTTTAGATTATGAGTGATATGGAAAGTGATTTCATTTAAATAATTTCAATGCCTAAACAAATATTTTTGATTGGCACAACAATCGTTAAAATGAATTGAATTAAATGGAAACAATATCATTGAGATTTATTGGAATCGAGTGTATAATTTCAGGAGTTTTCTAATTTTAGGACTCGCCCTTTTTGGATGTTTTTCTTTTCGTCAACTTAGTTAGGTTGACATCCCATTCCCCCATCTTTAGATTCGGTTTCCCTTTGCTTTTCCGCACCTGACGACACTGCGTCGGTTGTTCTGCTCCTTGCGGCCCACGCCGCTCATCATGGGCGTGGCCTCGTCGTCCTCGTTGGAGTCCTGATCCTCGTCGTCGTCCATCTGCTGGCGCACCACCTCCAAGGCGGCCTTGCGCTGGTGCGGATGGTGGTGCGACTCCATTGGGGGATCCTTCTGGTGCTGGTGCTCCCTCTCCCTATCCCGATCCCGTTCTCGTTCCTGCTCCTCGCTCCTGCAATCCTGCGCCTCCTCGATGAGCGTGGCGGCGGTGTGACCCTCCTCGGGATCCGATCCTGTGCTGCTGTGGACACTGCTGCTCAAGATGGCGGCCGTTACCTCCGTGGCGATGATCGTGTGGATGTCATTGTTCGACTTGGACTTCTGCTTGCTGCGGCGGTAGGAGGTCAGACTTGTGGTCATGCGGCCGAGGAGGCCCTTCTTAACGTTGATCGTGGAGAAGTAGCTGGCGGTGGAGGAGGAGGAAGTGGGTTGGCAGGTTGGACAGTTGGCAGATGCTTTTGGTGGTCGGGTGACTTGGGGGAGTGGGTGTGTGTTTGAGTGGGTCGTTTTGCATTGCTTTCAACATATCGTTTTGAAGGGTTCAGTGGCAGTGGCAGTGCGCTTGGTGCTCATGGTCATGGTTAAAACTTAATTTATTCGCCTGGGCTTACCGTTCACGTTCGATTTTCACTTTCGTTTGTCACTGGGTTTTTGTATTTTGTATTTTCCGGTTTTTCAATATCTTTGATTTTCCTTATACCGTTAAGCACACTTACACGCACACATGAGAAACAAAAAAAAAAGAGTTCGATTTATGGAACTGGTTTAGGAAAAATCACTTAAATGCCTTGATTTGCATAGCGAGTTTTTGGTAGCGGTCTTTTGTTTTTATTATACTTTTCCTTATACTTTTTTTTATGGATCATATACGGTAGTACCTGCTGAAACCGAAAGTCGCCATTATTTCGACAGCTCTCTGCGGTGGCTGGGCTGTGATTAAACCCTCGATGCTCGATCTGCTCGACAAACTTCTGCTTCTTGCCCGCATATATATCTTTATACATATATAATATATAAATCTTTTTAGGTGAAATTAACGCTTAAAAGCGAAACAAAAAAGTGCCAAGGGGAGGAGGTTTTCTCTCGGCGAGTTACGCCTGACTCCCAGTCTAAAATCTGCACTTGTCTTGGCGTCTGCCACTTGTGTTGCTGCCGTACATGTTGCCCGTGTTGCTCGAGTTGCTGGTGTTGCTGATGTGGTTCGTGTTGCCGCTGTTACCATTTAGCTGGCCTGGCTTTCCACACGCCACAGTGGGGCAAGAGTGGGTGTGGACCGCCCCATCCAACGGGAGAATTATTATGCCCACTGATCACTGTGATCACGGCAATTTAGCCATCACCAAAATTATAGGCCAGAAAAAGCATACGTTTGGTCAAGCTTTTCAAACTTCAAATTGCTTCATAGCCAAGCTGAGCAGAGTCAGGAAAAACGTTTTATGTGGAATACTGTTTAGAGCATTAATCCAAGCCACCCAGTTTTATATCTATTTTGCTTTAAGACACAATAAATACATTAAGTGTTGATACACTCTGAAATATTTTATATATATCTTTACTCTCCATTTCAAACCTATTTATGTGCACTTATTAATTTATTGCCATAAAAGTAGTACTGCCTATTTTTTTACTTTTTAACCCACTTATTCATCAAACATTTCTTACCCCATTTAATTTTGCCTAAATAACTAACTAAGGTAGAACAAAAATGTCTTTGCATGTATTTTTAAGATATCTACGATTGTTTTTGTAAAAATTTTCAGATCGTTTTTATGCGTTTATATCTCTTTATGTGGAATATTTGGTATACCCATATTATCATACCATAAAATCTGTTTCAACTTGTGGGATAACTAACTTTTCTAATAGATTTTCTATAGCTTTTGGTGGATCACTCATAGAATTTGTATTTAAACCCAAGCTTAGCCCAAGTCCCACGGTGCTTTCGCCCCTGAGCTCTAGAAGATTCGGGGGCCGAACGGAGGCCTCGGAGGCGATGATCATGATGATGGGTATATGGGTACGGATACTAGTATCTGTTCACTTAGTCAACTGGCTTACGACTTCATGGATATTGCGCACGGCAGCGGAGTTTGGCGGCTTTGGCTTTCTTCGTCCGACTTCGGACTACTTGTTACATTTTCCAGCTTTTCTCGCTTAGAAATGAATTGTAAACCAATTAAAGTTGATTTTTCATCTTTATCCCCCTCCCCTCACCACCAAAGCACCACACGTCTATTTATTTTCGTATCTGGTGGCTTCTTTAGTAGGTGAAAATACAGTAAGAAATGTATATATTCCCAATATTTTTCTCTGTTTTTTGTTTTGGTTTTCGTTTTGCACCGTCTTGTTTTTCTCTCTATTTGCAATTTAATAATTATTTTTTAATTTATTTAATGTGTCTGGGGGCCGAGCAGAAAATGGAATTAAAAAGCGAAATAATTGAGGCGAAGCAGGAGCCTCGTTAGAAATGCCAGTTGACAGTTATAGACTCGTTTATTTAATTGAACATTTGCGTGCTCGAATCCAATGATAGACGACCAACAATCGGCGATCCACAGTCAAGACTCGTCAATTGTCCATCGCTGAGAGAATGCAGAATGAAAGCCTCGCGAGTGACACAAATGGACCCCAGGGAGATACAATATACAAAGATACAAGATACAAAGCTGCGGACACAATGAAGATTGTCTTACGCAGCGATTAGTGGAAATCTTCAAGTGATTTCCCCCGCAAATGTGGGCAGTAAGTGCCGCTTCTCGATTCGTATTCTATGACAATTATCACTCCTTTTTTGGCTTTTTTCGAGGGGTTCTAGAAATGACTCTTGAAATGTATATAACCAAAATTACTAGTTTTGTACTATGGCTACCAAATGATCTTTTATCATAACCCTTTATAATTTCTAAACTTTCTGTACATCTTTCTATATTGTTAATAGCAAATAATACATACATATTCAAATTATATTTGTTAAGAATGTTTAAGAAAATAAATACGTACTAAAATGCCTTAATAAACTTAAAGCTTGTTGAAACTTGATTTTTAGTGATGGTTTATCACAATCTATTCTAAAGGGTCTGCTTTAACTTTGGTCTTATTTAATTATTTTAAGTCCCAGTTATTTAAAATACTTTATTTAAGAAATCGTAATGATTCTGAAAAGTATTGCATATTAAGTTATTTTACATGTAGTGTTTAACATTTCTTTTAAAGAAATACTTTCTTTAATAGATAAGTAGATTGAGTATTCCAATTTCTGATAATAATTTTATGCAGATGGTTCACTTTTTGTTTTAATATTTATGATTTCAACCGCTTATTCTCTTCACTTTTAAAGACCAAGCACAAGCACTCACTACTGAAGATTTATGTTTTAAAGCATTTAATTCATTTGGATCCGCACTCAAACACACACTGGCAAAAAAAAAGAGAAGCTCTTCAGCTTTGCATCCTTGGCGTCCCGGCGGCCATTTAATTTGCTCGCTGCCTTGGCCAATCGATTAGTGGCAACTGAATGTTGGCCAAAAGCAGCTGTGGCTACCTTTTCATGGTTGCGGTTGCTGCGGCTGCTGCTGCTGCGGATGTTGCCGTTGGCTTGGGCATTAAGCCAAATGTTGTGGCTACTGTTTGCGGGGTGAAGATTATGATGTTGCTGCTGCTGCTCTTTTTGTGCCTTGCAGTTCTTTGGTACACTGAAACTGTTAATTAATTCGCGTTCCGATTCGTTAACTGCATTTGAAATACTTTGAAGCGCGAAATTTTGTTTGCCGTTGCTGGTGTTGCTTGTGTTGCTTGTGTTGCTCGTGCCTCTGATGTTGCTGGTGTTGCCGATGTTGCTGTTACTGTTGCTGATGCTGATGATGTTGCTGCTGGCTGACCAACGGACAGTCGCGGGGGCGGGGGCGTGGCCGTGCTGCTGCATCGAGCTTCAAAACGAAACCGCACTAAATCCACCATTGAAATCAAAATTCAAATTCATTCTATGGCCGCATGTTGCTGTTGCTGCGCGTAACGGTTGCTGGTAAACGGTAACAACTTTAACACCAACTATCACTATGTGTATATAATACATTTACTATAAAACACGGAGAAGACGAAGCCCACGAACGAAAGCACCGTTCGCCTCGACCAGCCAAACGCGAATAGCCAGCACCACCGAACGCCAAGCGCCATCGAGTCATCGAGTGGCCACCGCGAACCACTGGCGGTGGTTCCTCTGCTTCTTCCTCCTCTGCTTCTTCTTCTTCTGGGGCGGGCGACGGAGGGGGCGTGGCGGGGCAAACCAGATAGCTTGACACCGAGCTGTCGCCATACGCAGTATTATCAAATGGCCAGCAGCGAGGGCGGATCGACAGGTCAACGATGGGCACACGGAAGTGCCATTTAATTGTTTAATAATAGAAAAATTTATGAAAAAAATACTTTTGTCATCCCAACAAAGTAAGTTTTGGCAGTCATAAGTATATGACATTTTCCTTTGCTAACTTTCTAAAACATGATAGTCACACGGAAATGGGTAAGCCAATATAAGTGTAACATTTTATGGTACTGTCATTTCTTTTAGTTATTTATAAAATAATCCCCAAAAAAAAGGGTTGCAATAATATGATAAATATTTCAACTATTTGAAGAACCATACTTTAAATATTTGTATTTTTATGATATCTATATCCAAACTAATGAATCTGCCCTCGCTTTTTTTGTTGCAAAGTTAACGCAAGAAGCACTAGCTGCCTTCAGCGAGGTGTCTTTGTACGCAAAACTATCATACGGTTTGAAACGAGGGCAGGTTTAACAAATACAAAAATCTTGGTAAGAACTATCTTTATCCATAACTTGATCTTTTGAAGGTAATAAAGACTTTGGGCTTATATTAATACTCCAGCATCAGTTTTATAAATCTGCAAAGTTCTCTAACATTAAATGTCGATCAAAAAAATTTTTTTTTTTTTATTCTAAATATTTATAAGATAAATTTTTCGATCTGCCCTCGCTCTCATCTCTCGTTGTTTTCTGTGTCGCTGTGTCAGTTGTCATGTCAATTGATCTGGCTTGGCGCTGTGTAAATATGAATTTCAGCTGGCGATCGAGGGGGGATGGGGGGTGCAAGCGGAGATCAGGCTGTGCCACCGATTCTCATTCTGATTCCGAGTCCAAGTGCGAGTCCGATTCTGACTCCGATTCTGATTCCTTGGCCAGTCAGCCAGAAGCTGCTCCACTTCGCGGCGAGTGGGGAAAACTCGTTGCAACGGTGCTTTGTGGGGCTGTGAGTTTTCCAGTTTGACTCCAATTGAAAATAGCACACGATAGAACCAAACCTGGCCTGGACTCGATTGGATTGGATTGGATGGTTTCGGATGGGATGGGATTCGAGTGGCTTTGGGGGGGGGATTGGAGCGGAGTGGAGTGGAGTGGAGTGCCGAGGATGGAGTGCATCTCGCTTGGCTGGCTCGCCTTGGCCACTTGGACACCCATTCCCATTCTCATTTCCCAATTAAATGAATCAGCTTTGGACGCGTGCTGCTGTTGGAGCACAGGAATTTAGGTGAATCAAACACTGGCCACGGATCGCTGGCCCACTTGGCCGAGAGTTTTCCCAGTTTCGCCAAGTTTTCCTAGCCTTTCCTAGTTTTGCCCCATTCTTTCTACCTTGTTGGATGAGCTAATAAGTTTTAATTAGTGCATTTAATTGACTGCTCCCAGCAAAGCGGGCAGTTAATAATTTCTCAAATCAACTCTTCGTTGTTTCTGTTTATGATAATCAGATCGTTACAGAGGCTTAAGACACTTAAATGCTTGCATTGAAATTATCATTAAAGCTGAGCTGTAAATGGAGCAAATTAAATGGACTTAAACATTCTGCATTTGTATACTCAATTGCCTTTTCAACTATTTTCTGAACATATACTTTAGTGGAAAATGTACCTTACTTGGCACAACATATTTACACATTTATTTTTATCAATTAAATATCCTTAAATCAGACAAAGTAAATACGGTTATTTTAGCTCTAAATCTATTAATATTCACTTCTCTAAACCTATTAATATTCACTTCTTAAATAAAGTCTTTAATACTTTTCCTATAAATGCGGTTGAAGAAAGGATTGTACAAACAAATCTTAAACCAGTTGGCTGCACTTTTTTCCACAAATGATTAGCCACTTGTTTTGGCTTCTACACTAATCGAATCAGATAAGAAACCCCTAATGAGAATAATTGTCGCAAGTAAATGGAAAGAAACCGCGTCGAATGGAAATGCAGACAAATCGAGGAAATAATAAAATACAAAGTGGAGCCCGGCCGATCGATCGATCGTCGATTTCCCCGACACATAAACACAAAGAACGGCTGAAAAAGCTTTCACCCCGCACTCGAATAGCGATGCAACTTTTGGCCATATACCATCCATCCACATTGTGGGGGACAGGTGCTCATCCACTCATCTACTGATCCACTCACCAAATATCCACGGATGCGGCGACCAGCAGTTGGACGCAGTCGAGGCAGCCACGTGCGGCGGCGTAGTGAAGGGCCAGAGCTCCTCCGTTGGGTCTTTCGCTGCCGGAAACGCTCCCCGGATGGTGCACCTGGCCCATTGGACCCATGTTCCCCAGATTCATCATACCGCCCACTCCGCCCAGGTAGGAGTCCAGCTGGTGGGCGTGCATTCTGCTCGAATTGGTGTTGACGCTGTTGTTTTGGCTGCCGTGCAGGAGCTTGTTGCTGTGCAGATTGTTCAGTTTGTTGCTGTGGTTCAGGTGCAGATTCGAGCTGAGTGCATAATCGTTTATGGTTCTGAAAGAGTATAATACATAATTTGTTAATAGAAAACCTTAAAGAATGGCACTATATAATATTTTGAATATTATAAACACTTTAATTTTAACACAGCTTAAAGCTATTATAAATAGTTTCATATAAGGTGTAAAATATGTGTATATTATATATATTTCCCTACAAAAGCTAAAATATGAGTATTAATTACTGTGTTTTGTTTACTGTACAACTACTTAAGACATTCAAAAATAAGTTAATTTAAACCAATAACTGAAAGTCTTTGCAAATAACTTTGCTGAAAACAAGATTCAAGATTGGAAAACATTTTTTAGGTGGTTAATAAAATCAAATAAATAAAAAAACTATACCAGTTATTTAGTCCACTTTTATCATTTTTCTGCAGAGAAGAGAAACAGTCGCTCAACAAATTATTGCCTACTTTTGGGTCTGCTTTATAACAAAAATTGCAGTCAACTTTTCTGCAGGCCAAACGAAAGACTTAAGACACGAACTTGAACACAAAACGAAAAACACAGAGTTACAAACAAAATATTAAAATTTCTTATGAAAAAAATTTCAAACAAAACTAAAAATAAAAGATTTAGGTTTTAGGGAAATACCAACAAAAAAGAAAAGCCAATGCTAAATATTCTTTTATCGAGAACCTATTCCTTGAATGTAAATATCTAAATATATATGTTTTCTTTTGGCATTGACAAACACTTTTTTCTAGATAATTCAATTAAATTGGTTCGCTTTTTATACATTAAATAGCTATGTGTTTTCCTTTGACATCTGTTTAAGCACACTTCGTAATTAATTAATTAGCTAGGGGAAGTGCTGGCAATTAATTTTTTAATTGCATCTGTCTGCGCATCTTCGGCTGCACTTGAATTCACTGGGTGCCCTTTTCCGAATCACTAAACCAGGTCAAGTCTGCTGCTGACTCACCTGATTGCCGTTTCCGCGGTAACAAACAATCATAATGATAATAGCAAAAGAAACAATACACACGGCGACAAATTAATTGAAAGCTGAGAAGCGACGCTGGCAGCAATAAAATGCGAAAATACCGGGCATTTGTGGGCTGTAGTATCTCGTTTGTCGCTGCTTTCCACTTGTGGCAACATAAAGAAACAGAAAGCCGCGAAGACGACACTTTCTTCCAGTTTATTGCATCAACGGTGGCAGCGTCGAAATGGCAAATGAAAAATGGAAGCGGGCCGGTAGCAGGTGTCAACAAAACAGGGCAGGTGCCACGGAACCCACGAAACCCCAGAAAACCCACAAAAACCACAAAGCCAACAAAATCTGACAAAACCCACAAACATTCAGCTGAGAAAAAAAAAGAAGTGAAATAAGCGATTTGGCAATTGCATTGCAGGCCAGTTGGTCAACAAAAGTGGCAAAGGGGGCTAAGAAAATTATGATCTTTAAGGGTGCTAAGAGGTGCCCTCCAACTGATCCCTAGCTTGTGATATAATTTAAAAAGCCAATAGAGCAAATGCTTTTAAATGATTTAATAATTTAGTTTTTATGTAGTAAAATCATTTAAAGAAATTTTTTTAACTATTTAAACTAATTGCAATATAAATCTTTAAGTAAACTGTTTTTAAACGAGTTATTTATTTACTGTGTCGTGTGTTTATTTGGAAAATGTATTTAATTTCCTTGTAATAAGTCTGTTTTTATTTAAAATATTAATGAGTATAGTAGACGCAGCAAAGCGAATAATACTGTAATTAAAGTAGCTACGTAAATATGATTTCAAGGCATTTAAATAAAAGAAATGGTAAATAAACAATAAGTCGTTTAAAGTTTACCTCAGAACAAAATTTTGACCTGGCGTTTAAAAATGTAAGCTGGATATTACTCAATAATCTTGTAAATTAAGAAAAAAATTGATTGGTTTTTAAGAAACGTTATGGCATTTTCATTTAGGCTTAGTTTTAAATACCTTACTACATTGATTTGGAGATGTAGATATATATCTGAGTAAAGTTGTGTTGGAGAGGAAGGGGATAGTCAGAGGCGAAAGCTTGGAAAAAGTGGAAGAACAGAGAACGGAAGAAAATAATCATTTAAGAAATTATACTCTTGCAAATCTGTGGGTTTTTGTGGAATGGGAAAGCCTGAAAGTTGGTGGGAAGTTTGCATGTGGCTTTCGATGACTCTTTGGAATCGATACAAGAGTTCGCACAAAACCCGATGGATAAACAATAAAAAATCAGAAATATTCCTGATTTCCATACATGTTTCCATGTGAGAAAATGTTTCTACTTAAGGTTTCTCCCAATTTCAAGTTATTATACCATTTAAATTTTCTGTAGTTTAAATGTGACACTCCTAAAAAAAATGTAAAACTTGTATGCACATAATTCGTAGTATAAATCAATCAAATTATTTCACAAGCATTTAACAAACATTTTTTTTGTATGGTTTTTATATGTGACTTGAAGAAATTATAGGGAACTTTTGTTGCACTTTCAAAAAAAAGGTCTCAATTTGTTGCACTTTTGTTAATTAGTTAATTTTTAAATATTATTCTTGATTTTCTTTGATTTCTCGTTATCGACACTCCACTGTGGCTAATTGATTTTGGCGCTCATCTATTTTTAAGCTCAATTTTTGTGTTCTGGTTTGGCGTTGCTGTTTTTCTTTCTGGCGATTTCTTTTACCTCAATTTGATGGCAATGTCGCGGCACTTGACGCATGGCACCTGTCCGGATTTCTTGGTCGACGGTGCTGCACTGCCTCCCTTTTCCGGCGGGGCAATCGTGGCATACTGGGCCTCCTCCTGATCCTCCTCCCCCTCCGGCCTGTCATCCGCCTCCGTTTCGCTGGCAAAGTCCACCACCAGCTCCTCGTTGGCGGCATCCTGGTGCACCTGCCGCTTGCTGAAGTAGCCCACATGCTGCTCCACCCCGGCATTGGCGTCCAGCAGGATCCGCTCGTAGGCGGCGCTCTCGTTCTCGGAGAGGGCGAACCGCTGCTCGAAAACGCGGACGGGCAGGGCGCTCTTCCGGAGCACCTCCATCCGCTTGTGTCGCAGCTCGATGGAGAAGATCAGGCGGACGCGGACCAATCTCCGCAGTCCCTGGTGGGTGGACCTGGCGCGCTGTAGCCTGCGTCGCTGCTGCCTCAGTTCCAATTTCTCCAGGCCCTTGAGGGACTTGGGATCGACCAGGCCGTGGTTGTAGTCCGCAATGGAGGTGAGGTCCAGGGCCGAGCGAGTGCGACGCCAGGGGACCAAGTCGAAGTGGGCCCCGGCCCAGGGATGGAAGTTCACCTGACTGACGTTGGTGCTGCGATCCTGCTTCAGGATCCAATCCGATTGCTGCTCCTTGGTCACTTTCACGTGATCGTTGCGGGCCGCTGCCTGCGGCTTGTGGCGTTTGTATCGCGGCACCAGTGTGGCCTCCAACATCCGGGCATCCAGACCGTAGTCCCGACGCAGCTGCTCCAGTTCCCTGCTGCTGGCCGTAAACTGAGCACCGTTCCACACGATCACCGGCGCACAACTGGCCATTGGAAGTTCTGTTCTACGCACCTTCCCACCCCGAAAAGTTCTTTCTTCTTTCTTCGTGACCACTGTTATTACTATTATTATGATTTTCGAAACCCGTTTTCCGGTTTCCGCTCGGCAATGTCGCGTTTGTCGCGTCCGCGCTCCGTGACGCCGGCGACGCAAATGTTCGCTGGCCAAAAAAAATCCAAACTCCAAATCCGCAGTCGATTCCTATGCAAAAACGTTGCGCCAACTGCGCTGCCAGCAAACGCCACTCATGATTAAGAGTTTTCTGTTTTCTGTTATTGTTATTGTTATTGTGATTATGGGCTGTTTTGTTTTGGAGTTGCTGGTGTTGCCGATTGTTGCTGCTTTGTTTGCTGATATTGCTGCTTGTTGCTGCCACTGTTGCTGCTGCTACACGCAAAACAAATGTTTTTTTCCAGCCCATTTTCAGTTGAAAACTTATACAATAAATGTTAAATAAATACTTGTTTACTTGTTTTAAATTAATTAATTAGGATATAACATAGTACTTTACATATTTTTTAATACATCATGTCCTATTTTCTATATAATAGGCATTAAAAAAGCCTCATATATAAATAACTTTGACAGTAAAAGAGGCATTGAAACAGCCTAAGTTTTTAATTTTTTTAATATTCAATTGTTGATGATTTCCAATTATTTTATCTCTCTGTGTACCACTGATGTTTGCTCAACATTGAAGAGTCGCGGGCTTAGCTGCCCCCTTTGATTGTATTATTTATTTATTTTTCACGCTCACTGCCATGTCAACTCTGCTCTGGGGCAACTCTCTGCCGGCGTCGACTGCGACGTCGACGTCGCTTCACTTGGTTGCGCACGCGTCAACAACAACAACTATAATAATATTAACTAAACTCCATCGCTGTTGGAATTATCGCCGCTGTTGCTGGGCATTCAACAATTTGAGTTCACAATTCTATTCTCGGCTAATTGACAACATCGGGCCATTGGCATTGTAGCGACCAAATTAACTAACAATTGCAACAAAGCTTACAAAATAAGCCCTTTTATGGGATAAAATGGATATGGAAAATATATATCATATACCTTGCTAATTAATCAATGATAATTTGATCAGCATTTCTATATAAGACATAATTTAAATTGTAAAATAAAACATACACTTAACATTCAAATGTAATACAATTTTTAATAGCCTTAAAAAATATTCTCATAACCTTAAATTATCAAGACCTCTAAATTGTTTACTTTATTTACAAATATATTTCCTATTAAACAAATAAATGTTTGTTATTATTCTCTCAAGAATATAACATTATGGAGATACATAGTATAAAAACAAATCACGAAGTTTTGCTTTAATACACCTCAAATACTATTATTAAATTTCAGCTTATTGTAGCCAATTTCATCATCGTTTATAATTTGCATCAATCGAAATTTAACCAATTTCCACAAAAAATATGCAATTAAGTTGCAAAATATCCGACTACGGTTTAGA